GACGCCGTTGTCTGTGCCCTAGATATTAAGTAAAATTCTATAGAACTAACGCGAATTCCTGCATCAATATATGTTTGTGTTAATTTTTGTTTAATAAATGATTTAATTTCATCATCAGATGTTATTAAATGACTTGTTTTAAATGAAACTAATTGATAGCCAATAATTGATGAAAATAATTCAATTATTGATGGATCAAGTACACCTTCAGCCATTATACAACAATGTCCATCAACTGTTTGAACTGTATGACATAAACGACATAATAAATCAATATAACACTAAATAAGAATATGATTAGTTAAGTAAAACAATAAAAAAATATATATCAAACTAACTGAATAGAGTGGAAATGTTATTTTAGGTTTTTCTTTATTATATTCATTAAGAGCAGTTCGAACAAAATTTTCAATTCGATTTTTATCTGTAATAAGATTATAATTATCTGTTAAATAATTTTGAGAATCTCGAGCTAAATTAGCAACAACCATTCCTAATTAAAAAATAATGTATAATAAAAAAAGAAAAAAAGATAAAACTAAATCAACAGACCACTTTCAGTAACTTGTAAATTAGAAAAATGTTGATTATGAGCAAGTAATACTTGTTGTTCATTAATCATATTCATAAAATATTTTTTAACAATAGTTTTATATAACTGTTGATATCTTTGTTGATCAATTTGATCATAAAGACGTTTACCATAAAGCCATTGACATTCATGATGCCATAAATAAAGTATATCTTCAATTGAACATTCTGGTGTTAAACTAACACATAAATTTCGAAATATTTGTGTTAATTGTTTCATTGAAAAAACATAATGAATACGTTGAGAATTAATTTGATACATAGATCTCATTCGCTGATTTAATTCAACTGTACCTTTAACAATTCGATCTAATATTGAACGAAGATCTTCAAGATGTTTAAATGTTGAGGAATTTTTTAATCCATTTGTTACTCCTGATGAATCATTTCCTCCTATTGTGGATTGTTTAGCTGTTGATGCACGACTTGAACCTTCATTGGAATCTTTAAGTTGTAAATGTGAATCACCATTATCACCAATAAAATGTCGATTAACTAATTTAGAAAATATTGATACTAAATCATTTTCATTTGGCATATCCATTTGAATTATATGAAAATGTTTTACAAGACGATTTAAATTTGATAAAGATTTATTTCGATTTAAGGTTAAAACATATGTTATATTATCTATATGTTGCCAATTAGAATTTATTGGTGAATAAATTCCATTTGAATCAAGATGTTGACGTAAAAGTTCTACTAATGATTGAGAATTACAACGATCAATCTAAATTTAATAGAATATATATATATAATAATTTAAGAGAAAATAAATAACCTTTGCAAGATTAAGATTATCAATAAAACAAAACATTTTTCGATTTCCTTTTGTTGTATAATAAGATGAATGTTTCCATTGTAGTTGTTCATCGATTTTTTCATACGCAAATAAAGCATCAGTTTCACTAAAGAAAATTAAAAGAATTATTTTTTACTCGCAAAAAATAAACACAAACGAATTGCAAGTTATTGTTATATAAAAATCATCGCTAATATCACCGCCACATGTTGCTTTCAAACGATCATTTATTAATGCACTTTTACCAATTCCTCGATCTCCAATTAATAATACTGGATGATTATTTTCAGTCATTAAGCTAATCAGAGTCGATAATGCCTAGAAAAATTAAATTTGAATTACTTTAATCTAAATAAATATCTATGATCAAATACCATTGTATAAGGTGTATGAACAAAAATATTATTTGGAATTCCTTGATGTGCTAATGGATTAAATGCTGGTATTGTATCTGACCAAAGAATAAATTGATGAGCATCAGTATCATATGTCCAATCAGTTACCTATACAAAAAAATTATATTATTCTATAAGCTATCAAGATCTATGTAAATCGAATTTGCATGCTAGATTTAGTTTTAGTTTAATTGAAAAAAATTCTTAAATAAGTCTTACAGATTTATCTTTTGGTATATTATGAAATGTTTGTCTCCACCAATTTTCAAAAAATTTCTTCGAATTTAAATCAATATGTGTAATAAATGACCATAAAAGTGTATATTCAACTAATGAACGTAAATCAATAACAGAACATTTATCATTTTTAAAATAAGTTTTTAATAAAGTAATTGCCATTGAAATTTTTGATATAAATGAAATCTTCATTGTTGATTTATCTTTTATATCATACGATTCAATTCTTGATATATATTCAATAAGAATTTTAACTAATTCTTCAAATATTTCATTATCATCATTATCATTTGGAAAACTTGAATAAACTAAATCTCGCCATGTCCAAATTGGTTCTTCTATATTAAGCATTACAAATGATGAAAGAAGTAATGGACTTAAATTATTTAAATTTTCTAACTAAAATTATAAATATTTAATTTTTCTAAATTGATTCTATATGTAAATACTCACCTCCCAATAGACATGACCATGATTTAAATTAAGAATAAAATCTTCAAGTGTACTAAGATCATCCGGATTAAAACCATCAAAATGAAGATAAAGATTTTCTTTTTTATTAGCTTTCTCAATAATATTTGTCAAAAGACCTTGTTGAAAAAGACCTGTTTCAGAATTAAATTTTGAAAATAAAATATCCGATGGCCATAATGAAAGCATTATATGATGATAGACTTGTGTTGGATCCATAAATGCTTTAGCTTTTATAAATGATTTAATTAAAAGACTTTTACCATATTGACTTTTACCGAGAATAAGAATTTTTGAATGATTTTCTGTTAAATGATTTAATTGAAATAATTTATTTAAAATATTTTCATTTATATTTAAATGATTTTGATTTAAAGCTAATTCAAATCCATCAGAAATATTCCAGATTGTTTGACCAAAATGTCGACTATTTGTTGATAAACTATCAAATGGTAAACATTTAGGAATTGTTCCTTTATATGATTGATTTTTGTATAAAATTATTGATTCAAACGCTTTTTTATCGTCATTATTAAAACATTTCGATATTACAGATAAACCATTATATAATGCTTGTTCTTCTTCTTCACGAGAATGATTATTTAAATAATATTTTGAAAATTTTATTAATATTTTCATTAATTTAGGATTTAAATCAACTTTTGGTACAATTATACCTAAATATTTCGTTGAAAATAACATTAGAAAGAACAAGAAAACTTACCGAATTGTGAAAGATTTTCTGTTAATGATTTATCAACTGTATAGGAAAGAAGATTCATAAAACGTGTAGCTAAATCAAATGCATGATGAAAACCAGATCGAATTAAATTAGCAAGAAAAACATGATAATAATCAGGTTTAGATAATGTTACAATACGATAATCAACTATAATATCACTTTTTAATGAAGAAAAATGTTCAATTGTTGATGGATATATTGTTGATAAATAATTTATTTCTTTGGAATCAATTAATGTAAATGTTCTTGACATATATTCAAATGATTTGTTCTTTTTTAATATTGTTTCATATAAAGTATTTGATATTTCGATAAATAAATGCATTACTCTTTCATTAAGTTTATTTAAATTATTAAATAAAAATAAATTTCCTTGACAAACACCAACAAATGCATTGATTATTTCACAATCATTCATTATTGAATTACATTCGAGACGAAATAAATTTCGACCAAGATTCGACGACAGATTTTCAATTAAATAATCACTCTACAATTATTCAAAAACATTTTTTTTAATTTCAATTAAAGAAAAATAAATAAGCTCGACCTATGAACTTATCTTAAACAAAATTAGGAGAATTCTGTTCGAAGACTAAAGCTGTTATTTATTCGCTAGCGAGACTTCACGCGTACTGCACGACTGTTTTCACCTTAACCGTATTACTTTAGATTCCTAACTCTTCATCTAATAACAAATATCAGGGGTGGTGCGATCAACCAACATATGGGGGCGGGAGGGGTAACGCAATTTTTTGATTTTTTGGAGGGATGTAGCAAAATTTTTTTGAATTTCTTGGGGGTGTAGCGTCATCTTTGGTAAAAAACTTAAGAAGATTTGCCGATTTAGTTGAGCAAAAAATAGAAATTTTCGAAGATTGGGGGGGGGGGTGTTACACCCCTCCTCCGGTCGCGCCACTCCTGACAAATATACAGATACTCAATAACATGTTTATAGATAGATAGTCCTACGACGATGAAGTTAAGTGAACTTCAAATTTGAAGTTTTTCGACAAATTGTAGTTTGTAACTATGTGCTTCTTTTTCTTGAGCATCACCAGTCGACTCAGCACAGTCGAGAGTATCTATTAGAGCAATCAAAAGCAGGTGATTACAGTTTTCAGGTAGATTTTATCGCGAAAACTTTGACATACGTAAACTCTAAGTTTGGAGCATACTTAAATTGACCTGCTACGATTTAATACATATATTTTTAGTCCATATAGTCTTCGGGCTCATATCAGCGGCGGATCTGGCTATTCGGCGAACCGGTGACCGCTATCCCCTCGAAAATAGATACTTTGACAAATACTCAATACAGGTAGAACACTATAGATCTCTCTCCTAAAAAAACACTACTTTCCACTTTTTTTTATAAACCGCCACCCTGTCATAGAAATCTTGGATCCGCCCCGGGCTCGTATCCTTTTTCCTTATTATAGCTTAGGTCTATAGTTTATAAAACGGATTGATTTTAATGGTAAAATATGTACTCAGTTGATATTTTGAGTTTGTATTCTGCTGAGTGGATATTTTTTATGATTATATTCTATTAAAAATCTTACATTTTGGTTAAGAATCAATGTTCCACCAGGTGATCCTAATGAGAGAAAGATTTTTCCAAGAAAATGATGTTCTTTTGGAATAAAAATTTCTTTATTTGCAATTAAATCATAACCATAATCAATTGATTTTTCTAGACACTAAAAGAAATTTTAAAAAAGAATTTTTTATTTTTCAAAATACCAATAAAATTCAAATACTTTGATTGATATTTGTTTTGTTTGTTGATCTGAATAATATTTAAGTGTAAATTGCCATTCAAATGCATTTAAATCTATTGGAAGACGTGTTAAATAAGATGATAAAAGTATTAAAACATCTTCTAATTTTCCAATTGATTGATTTTTATTTACTATTAAACATTCATCTGTTGAACTTTCTCGTATATGATTGATTTCTTCTAATAAATTTTTTGATAATGATGTTAATTTCTATTTAATTAAAATTTTAATTAGATATTTTATATTTAGTTAAAACTTATGCTCTTCAAAATTTTAATTCATTTCGAATCCTCTATATAATGCACAAGTAACGCTCGTCCGACAATTCGCTTAGCTCTTTCTCGTAAAAATGCATCCTCTTCACATTTACTGGAAAAACAATTGAAAACTGTGGAAAATAGGTTTTCAATGTTTTTTTGACCTTGCGGACATACAAGCAATTAGACAGTTTATGTTTACTGGACCCTTCTCTACGAGAAAGAGAATAAAGTTCAATCTCAAAAATAGTTGAAGAGATTTACTAGTAAATTAGCAAATAAGAATCTGTTGATCAGAAGAATAGAAACGAACCTGTTCGGAATCATTTCCTTTTGAATTTTGTTCAATAAGTTGTGTAAACATTATTTTAAGAACAAGAATAATTGTTTGTCGAGGATATTTCATTAACCAATCAATAAATTTTAATTGATTATTTTCTGTTAATTCTAAATGGATTTTTTTGTTAATAAAAATAAATTATTTTGTTTTATAAAAACCTTTCATAGCTGAATCAATTGAATTTTTGATTGTTTCTTTTAACGTAGCTTGTAATTTTTCAATAAATGTTTCAACATTTCCTTCAAATGGAACTTTCTAAAAAATACAAAAAAAACAAGTTTTTATTTCGAATTTAACAGAAAATAACAAACATTGGTGAAAAGTATTTTTTCATCTTGATATTCTGTTATTAATCCAATAGCTTCTTCTTTGATATCTTCAGAAAATAAGAGATTTTTTAATCCAGGAATAACAAATGAAAGTTTATTGCTTAATAATCGAATATTAGAAGCTAAAAAATAAAAAAATAAATAAAAATCTTCGAAAAATGAAAATATTAACCAGCTGTAATTAAATCAAATAATTGAATATCTGTAAGAAATATTAATCTTCCATTTTTATTTTCATTGAACATTTGTTTTCGTATTGTATCTTGACATTTATTTAATTGACTTGTTAAATGTTTTAATTGTGAAAGAATATCTTTAAAGGAAAAAAACCAAAAGAAATTTTCAAATAGAAAAAATATTTTCTTTACTTTTTTTTTGACAACATTTTAAAACATTATTATCATTCGCAACTGAAGTCATTAACGTTCTAAAATCTTTATCAACTCTATAAAACATTAAACTTGTTTGTGT